AACTGATCATTGTTAATACCTGGTTTTTACTCACAATCTTTTGTAATTCTCTAAATTATATCTGTACTTTCAAAGCACAACACCTCGAAATCCACTCTGTAGTGGATTTTCACCAACTATGTTTTGTGCAGACTGTCTTCTAAACTGATTATCAATTTCATACAAATGGTATCTTTTCTTTCTGGTGTGGTTTTTGTTTTATTAATATTTGAATTTATGTGATAAATTTATTAATACCTTAGTTTACTAAACCTTTTTCTGTTTTAAGTGATAAATGGACGTAAACTGCACAAATCAACAGTTGCTGCTGCTGCTGTTGGAGTTCACTAGATCTCATCATCTTGTGTTTCATTCTAAGTGATTATTCAGGGTGTCGGTGGCACAGCAGTTATGACGCTCGCCGACCATGCATATGGTCCGGGGTTCGATCCCCAACCGACGCCCACCTGATATCAATGGTCTCGGCCGGCTAAATTTGAACTACCGATATCATATGCGGAGAATTCCGTACTTGTACCAAAATACTGTGTGGAATGAAGCTATAATTAAATAAATAAATAAATAAAATGGTTAATTTTAAGGTTTTAAGCGAATTGCAGCTTCCAGTGTGTTCTACACTGAAAACCATGTCTATAATATCAAATATAGATAAATCATCTTACAGTATAGCGTATCTAAAAATGAATGAGACAAACAGGTTTTTAATAAAGTTTATGTTTCTTCTAGAATTATCAATTCTTCAATAGTTCAGATTCCTTGTTGATAATGTTCAAGCTTTCGGGATTTCATCTTGTAAATGCCTATGTAAAAAGATTCAAGGTAATTTGGAAACTGATCTGACACCATGGATTGCAGCAACTCAAACCTGTATCAGCCTCATTCAACAGTTATATGACAATGCTTCATGCCAACTGATTCACAACGGGGAGCTTGGCAAAGCCTCTGAAGTAAAGACTAGAGTAAGACAAGGCAGCCTACTGCCACCGACGATTTTTCTAGTTATATTAGACTGAGCTATGCGACAGTCCGTGAGGAGAGACAGGACGGACATACACTGGAGGGAAAAAAAGACACTGGAATATCTGGACATTCGTCGATGATTTATGTCTAATTTCGCAGAAGTTTGAAGATCTACAAGCGAAAGACCAGCAAGTTAATGGAAGAGGCAGTGAAGACCGGACTTCAAATGAACATTGATAAAACAGAAGTGATTAGAAACCTAATCGACAGCAACAAGAACGAACTAACATCAATGGGGGAAGTGTGAAGGAAGCCACTTCTTTCAATTACCTAGGCGGGAAGCAAAGATGAAGATGTCAAAGGCAAGGTTGAAAAGGCAATACAGGCCTTCATTACTTTGAAATCAGTGTGGGAATCCGTCGAACTCTGTATAAGTAACAAGATCCGAATTTCCAATGCCATTGTCAAGTCAGTCAGTGATTCCATATGGTTCAGAGAATTGGCGCACTATCAAAAGCATACCAGACAGACTTGGTTCCATACTGAGGATCAGATGGCTGACCAGAAAGGTAAGCAACAAGGAACTCCGTCAGCCAACTGCCCAAAAGCCTATTGCCCATGTAGAAATATGTAGAAGGACATATATATGGATCAGAAATACACTGAGAAGACCGTGGCATCATGCTCCAAGCACTCGAGTAAAACATGAATGGGAAGCGAAAGATGCGTTGTTTGTCCGAGGATGGCATGGATGAGTTCGTGTAAGGTTAAGATGAAAGCTTATGAGCAGTCGAGGAGCCACCTAAGAAAAGACTGCGGAGAACAAGATGCAATGAATCTGTGCTGCTGTGAAGCCTAATTTTCTACCAGTAACCCGTGGGAGTAGCAATTATAATACAATAAGGTCTAAGATTACTTTAAATTGTTGTTAAACTTTACTCTTCCTTTTACTGTACATGTATTAAGCTTGAGTTTTTGGTGGTCTTGTATATATTTAAAATAAACAACATGTTTAACACAACCACCTAGTGTGTTGCACGTTATGAGTACCAGTTTATTCTGTTATCTCGTGTTTTGCTAAATTACAAAAGGTATATCTGCTTCTCTTCTTGGTGGTAAATTTTTGCACTCAGCATTGGAGTTTCTATGTGGTGCTTTGAAGTGTAGCACCATGAACTAATGAAGTGTTGTGCAGTGTTCCGCACTAATCCTTCAGTCATATCACTTGAGGTGTCAGTGTAGGCGTTGTTTTGAGCGCCAATTCCTTTTTGAAGCAGCGCATGTCAAACCATCACTTTCCATACTTTTACTCATTTTTTCTTCACTTTTATAGCTTCCACCAACTGGATCTAATCCAGACCTTGTACGAAGTAGTCCAGCTCCAACATCAACAGCTTTAAAACCTGAAACTGCCTCTGCAAAAATTGAAAGTCCTTCTAGTAAGCCTTCTGCGGATAAACCTGTTGCAGCAGATGTTATGAAGTCCAGTGACATAATGAGTAAATCTTACACACAAATTTCAAAATCGGATAGTCCGACTCGTAAGATGATAAGTGGGAGTAAACTCCCCACTTCTACTACCACTACTACATCAACACCGCCTATCCCTACTGGTATTAAAATGCCAATAAATCCTTCAGAGATCTCACAAACTACAGCAGCACTTAGTAATGTAAAAGCGGCTGCGCAGAAGGTGGATTCTGAAAATGCACCAAGTGAACTTAGAGATACGTCTCAAAAAATACCAAAAACATCTGTATCAGCTGTTCCAAGTGGTACTGGTAAGTACATCCCAGACACAGAGTTGGAACTGGCAAATCTACGTGCTGAAGTAATCGAATTTCGTGAACAAATTGATGCTTTAAAAGCTAAACGGGAAGAAGATAAAAATAGAATACAAGAATTAGAACGTGTTAAAATTCAGCTGTCACAAGTTGAAGAGAATCGACGTCGAATCCGACAACAAGCAGCTGAATTACAACGTGAAATTGCTCAATTAAAAACAGTAGGTTTTCTTTCTTATATTGATTTTAACAATTTTGTTGGGTTGGTGAACTGTACTTGGAGCTTAAATTATTCTTTTGAAGTCACTATCATTACTGTTTCCAAAGAATGGATACTGAACAAAGAATACTCTTTTCGATAACTTCATCATCAGGCTCTGCAGTTATATATACATTATAGTGAATGAATGAATTAGTGTTGTGAACAACATTAATGTTTAAATAACCACGAATATCAATAGATTATAGTTAAATAGCATCAATATAACAATAAACTAAATGTCAGAAAAATTAGTAAAGATAATAATACAAATTCATGGATTTATAATCTCCACTAAAGGCCAGGGCAATAGTAGTGGCTAGACTTGCTTCTTTTGCACACAAAGCACTGGTTATTTGAGGCGAATTGAAATAGCCTCTGCTGTTTGGAGCATGTGGTACTTCGCTGTTTTCGGCAATTTATTTGGCACACGGTAGATGATAGAGAAGGATTCTTCAATGCTGGCTTTGTGGCTGGTTTGGACCAGATGATCAAATATCGAACTGTTGATGGTTTTCACTACACCTTTACTTAGCTATACTGGGAGATGTTTCTTTTAAAAATTGAAACCTCTGTAAATAAATCATAAAATTGTATGAACGGAAAGTTTGTGAACTCTCTTAGTTGACTAACTGTAAGGAGATAATATATTGTCAATCGATGGCGATAACTAATCAAAATCGATTGATAACCTGAAAATGACCCTATATGGAGTAAGCTATTGATGATGCAACATGAAGTTATTGACTGCTAACACTTGAGTTTTGACTGTTCCCAGTTCCAGTTTAAAAAAGATGGTTCTCAGTTATAGAACCACAAATAGCCACTGCACTTTGTTTTCGTACTATTTCTCATCCACGATCCATGTTAATAATAGATTAGTGTAATTTCGCAATTGTACAATCTATGGGACCTATGTCTACCCACTATGTATGTAATGACAAAGTTGACGTCAAAAAGAGTAGTGCTAGTAATCACATTTCGCAGATAGCGAATACTAATAATATAGTGGAAACACTTCTACCAATGTGAATTTTGTCCGTTTACTTGCTCACAGAGTGATGTGCAGAAACTGGTGATCTTTTTACTGCCATTTAATACATACCAACCATCAAAAAGTCGACGTGTTCTGTGTGTGTGTGTGTGTGTGTATGATTCTCCTACCTCATATCTGTGATCATGACTCCTTGACTCATTGGTAGAGTTTTGAGCCTTTATGGTCAGTTAGTTTTTAATATAAATATGTATTGACAAGGAGGCCGTGTGATCAGAATGTCCGAAATGTGTTACGTGAATGCATTACATGTTTCAGATAGAACAAACTGCGTCTTATTTTTTTTTGTTGTTGTCGAAATTCATGAAAGGAAGTAACTGCTTTTAAAAGTAATAACTTCTCCAGAGTGAATTACTCTCATAAGTTTTGCACTGATTTCTTCTGCTAATGAATTGAGGACATGCAAGGCAAACTTAGCTCATTGATTTAAGCACTTGACTTTTGACCAGTGGGCCTCGGGTTCGAATCCCACTGTGCCTACCTAGAGCGGGTAGCTGGGCAGTATCATTAACCCTTACACAATAAGTGTCACTCATAATCCCTGGAATATGAAACACCCCTTCCAGGAACTGAGTTCAAAGATTGCATGCTAACCGTTTGGTTCAATGATAACACTCGCATCTTGTAACTCAATGATCCTGAGCTCATTGCTCCATGCAGTCATGTGTTTGCATTAGTAAAAAGTGCCAAGCTAGAAAATACTCGCTCTGTTAGCTCTCCTTAGTTTCTAAATACATCTCTGGCTATTTTCATTGAAAACCTGGTTCACTAATGTGTTTATTATTAATCTCTATTGAGGAAAAAGCTGAAGTCAAAGAAGCATTTGATCGTTATCGTGAAGAAGTATCTGAAATGGTTGAAAATATAGAAATGATCACTTTAGATAAAGAAATGACCGAAGAAAAAACTAGAAAAATTGACTGGAGAAATTGAATTACTTAAGGAACAAGTAGAAGAATTAACTCTTGAGAATCAAATCTTGAAAGAAGAATTTGAAGAAAAAGGTTAGTAGTAATGATTTAAGTTGTTTCAAGGTTATTTTAAAATCGTTTCTATTGTATATGTTATTATTATTCATTAGGGTTCCTAGTGGAACATATTGCTTCAGCAACACATCGATCGATATTTCATCCTGTCGCCTTCGGCCTGTCGTAGCTGGCCCCACGATTGCTCATAACTTTCATCTCCACTTCACACGGCCTCCTTCATGTCACTCTCGTGTGCCCAACTCATCGATTGTTGTTTGAATCTCACTCGAGGGTCTGGCACGTGATGTGTCACTCGATAGTTTTCTCAGCCTATGTCCAATGCGTTTATGTTTTCCTCTGAATATTTGTTGGACGATATGATCTTGGGTGGTTTTTTCGTGCCGGTGCTCCTGGTTGCTTGCTTATCCTTACTTGTCATTTAATCTGCAGTATGGAGCGAACGCATCTGAAGCCTCTTCGAAAAGTTTCTACTATAGTTGGGATAAACTACTGAAAAGGAAATTGTACTAGTCAAGTGATTTACACAGCAGTGTTTCCATTGATATCTTAGCTCTTAAAAATTCTCGTTTAACACCTCACAGAATGTGATCTAACCACCCATCTGAACTTTCTATAAGATGCTATTAACCACGTTAGCTCACAGGTTGCGAAACAAGTCAATCAACTAAGGTAGAGACACAGGCATATCGTGAAAACAATTTCATCGTATTTTATTATCAGTCATTTATAACTTGGATAAACATTTCACTTTTTTTCTTCAGTGTTATCGGCTTTACTCTAATCGCAGAACTGTCAACTGACATTGTGCTCATTACTTTTCAGGAGCTATTGTGGTAACTATCTCCATACTTGTTGTTCATGTATTTTGAGAAGTCATTTTATATACTTCAAGGTAGTATTTAGGCATCTACTGAATGAGTTCATCAGTCCAGTTGTTAGCGCCAGATGTCCGGATTCGCCCTTTCAACCAGGCAGCTTAAAGGTAGTAAACATGAATTACGTAATCAAAGGCTATAAACGCGTAAGCACATGAGACGACTTCTAGAGGAAGACTGAAGTCTACCCACCGTCGACCGTACCAGGTCGTTAATTGTAGCCGTATACCAAACTGAAGCTGATCAATTCGTGTCAGATTTATCAGCAGGGAATCACGTAAATAAGCTAATACTGTCAGTGCGTGACATTACTCAAAACTCATTTTTCAATTCTGAGGATAAAGATTTACCGATTGGTAAAGAAGAATATGTAAAAATATAAAAGGTCACCCTGTCCCTTTATAGAATAATTTTATTTGGGGAGAAAAACAGTGATGCAACATTTTTTACTGATGACGTTTCGACAACAATTTATTGCTTACAACTATATCAAGGCACTCACATAACTTTTAAACTTCGTTTATGTAATTCTATTATTTCTTATCCATATCTCCAGTATACCAGCGTTACGTTATTCCTACTCATGTGTTACCTATAGATTAAATGAAGAAAAATTCAATGCTCGATTTCTCTCTCCACCTATTTATATTACTTTTTAGAACTGTAGCTCTCTCCCCATTGTATTGTGTGATTTTCATTTTTGTGAAGTCCATCATTTCACACTAAGCCAAATTCGTATGCTCCAATAATCTGACCAAACAACTGGTCTTATAGTTGTAGTTGATCTCACAGTCACTGCAGGTCATTATATTGATTAAATAGTTTTGTCTAATAGGGTCCCTTAATCTCTGAGTTACTTTGTAGGTTTAAATTCCACCCTAATTCCTGCCTTGTTATGAATCCTACGTCGAGTTATTTTATCGAATGAAATGATCCTATGATATGGAATTATACTCTGCTCCTACATCAAGGGCAACTGCGTTTTCTTGTCTAGAAATTCGCCAACATTTTTCTCTTACTTAAGGAGATAAATTACTAGACATTGCGTTCCTAGTTACTTATTGCATTCTACGTTGTTATCTCTCTTTCTCTTTCTTGTGGAAAATACCCGGTGAAGTATCAGTCGGTGTTGAAGGCGGTTCAACTCTCTTACAGTTTAAAAATCTTGAACAACAAAATGAACGAATGAAAGGAGCACTGGTCAAGCTACGTGATTTGGTTAATCAAGATAAATCGGAAATTTCAGCTTTAACTAAACAGGTAAATTCCTGCTTAATAATTTTTATGTATGATGCAGTGAGCAAAGAAAGAAACTCGATGAAGGTAAAGTTGTAATTTTGATGTTCTTGCGTTCTTTGAGCTGGATGATTTTAAAACTGCGAAACTTTCATGTTCCTTCCGAACAACATCTTCAGTACAAGCTTTTTATCAAAGCGCATCGGGTGCAGGGTTCTAGTCTGAGTGGAACACCAGCATACGTACGTCCAGATGATGAATCTCAAATAGGACGAAGTGCTCATCCTACATTCCTCTGCTAGTCACTGTTATCATAGTAAAGGTTTTTCTAACTTATGAGATAAGTAGTGAATGCACTCAACTTACCAATTCAATATTTCTAAACTTATTAATATTCTGTACACCAATCAAGTCTACTTTTAAGAACACTAAACAGGCTACCAAAAGTTATAAATATTAATGGAGCTGTATAGCTGAGTATTGTGAATTCTTCGCATATTGGCTTCAACTGTGTTTTGAATTTCGTTTATTCTTCCAACTCTTCTTTTAACATCAACTCACTGAAAGTTTACAGTTAAGTCTGAGATAACAGTTTGTCTGAGTGGGAAAATAAAGCCTAAAAGTGAATGGTCGAGCAAATGGAAGTGATGAATGATGTGATAAGAGTTATTTACCTCTGTTGTCTTACGATTTTTGTGAAGCTCGAAATGTTATGGGGACAGTCCAAATCTGTGACCTAAAGTCCAATTCGAAAATAAGCAAAGCAATGTCATGATGCATTTTATCTTAATTTTGGTAACTAAGTCAAATCTGTAAGCTATTTTTACCTGTACACATTCTGTATGGAATCAAGGCGTTTTAAACTCGTCACATGGTACCCCATATTCACCAAGCCTTCATTTTTGTGGCAAAATTTCTTCCACAATATAATGCTGTTAGTAGGACGCCCGTGTAAACTCTATGAAAATGTGTCTATTAGTAAGGTATTTCGAGAAGGTTAGATCAGCTGAGATTCTTTGGTTGTACTTGGTGCATTTAACCGCCATTTATCGCTGATTTATTGTTATTGTCTATTATATCTGTAACGGCCAGTTAGATCAGTTCACTCTTATTGCTTTCTTTAAACTAGACGACTAATGGTAGTAGTAAGGTTTTCACCATCACAATGAACTATACAGTCAGAAAATAGAAGTTAATTGGTGGATGGTGACTAGCAATAGAATCCAGGATGCGCATTTCGGCCTATTTGGGACTCGTCAATTGGATCTAGCTGTATTCCGCAGTGAGTGATGATGTCCCCACTGAGGCTCGGACGCAGTGCCCATAGCTCCAAACGCCAAAGCGTTATCCACTAGACCACTTGGGCCAAGAGGGCCACCTCTTGTGCAATGGGTCATATTAATTATTTAATTCAACTGGAACTGCCCCATATGTGTGCAAAGTTCTATGTTGAGATCAGTAAGTTAGTCAGCTTTATCTGTATATTCATTTATACTAATTCAGCTCACTTCTATGCTATTTTGTAATATTAAATAGCTTGAAACAGACATCACAGTCACTGACGTCTGATATCGTATTGAGATTGTGGGAATTTCGTTGTAGGGATTTGGATTAATTTTACTGCATATTTCGTCTCAATCCAATATCAGTTAAAAAATTATCAAAAACCATAGAACACTAGACAGTGGTTTTGTCCCAACTTGTGGTTCTTCAGCAGCATGCTGAATAGTCAACGGAATCAGCCTTGTGACATGAAGGTCCTGAATTCGACCTCCGTTGGGGACGTGAGTGCGTATTGCTGAGGAGTTCTAATCAAGTACGAAACAGTTGTCTGGAGCTCCTTGATTTTGAATATTTCCCTAACTGATGTTGGTTCACGACGAAATCTACACTATCACATTGTATTTACCTACTTTTTATGAGAATTTGAAATACCAAACTTTAAACTGAATAATTAATTTTGTTTATTTGTATTTTAAAGATTACATCTTTAGAATCAGAAGTTAGTCAACTTCAAACAGAAAAAGAACGATTAACAAAAAATTTAAAAGATAGTGTTGAACAAATTATTGAATTAAAAGAACAAGTGGATGCTTACCTCGGCATTGATACAATGGTCAGTCAGTTGACACAACGTAATTTAGAACTGGAAGAAACGCTTGAGAAAATTAAAGAAGAAAGAAATGATCTGGTATGTATACACATGTTGATGTTGATATGCTTAATAAATCCTTCATATGTATCCCTGCAGATGTTATGATTCCCAAATCTAATAGTATAAATAATGACTGCTTCTCGTGTTTTAACACGAACGATGTCCTTAATTGTCTTCAATCTCTCAAACCTACCCAGTCCCTTGGTCCTGATGGAGTTCCTGCTGTTATCCTTAAGAAGTGTGCTGACATCTTATGTTACCCATTAACCGACATTTTCAATGAATCCTTTTCCCAAAGTATTATTCCGGACTCATGGAAAAATGTCTAGGTTGTTCCAGTACCTAAATCAACAAGTGGACCTACTGTTAAGTTTCGACCGATTGCTATTACCTCACCTTTTTTAAAAGTTATGGAAAGACTTATTTTACTTAATCTTGAACCCTCTTTAAAGCCTTTTAATGACCCCAACCAGTTTGACAATAAACATAGTAGGAGTACCTTAGATGCCGCTGTTGTTCTACATCATAATATAGTCTCTAGTTTAGATAGAGGAGCCAAATATGTTCGGTGTGCCTCCCTTGATTACACATCTGCATTTGACTCTGTTCCTAGGTCTCTTGCTAAGTAGAAAACGGGCTTGAGTATAAACTGCAACTCAGAGATGTAATTGGGTAATTAAAATAAAATAAAATAGAGTAAATGAGAGAAATTCTGATGGAAAGAAAATCGGGCAGCCTAGTTATTTAAGCAGACCATTATTGTTTGCTCTGATTTATTCTTAATATTGGTGCTCTACAATCTTTTATTTACACGGTTTGCGGAAAACTGTAAATAAATCGTTAATGTAACAGGATATTATGAAATATCTTTAATTTCTAGTGTAAATGTAGTTCACACTTTTTTTTGTCTCACTTTACCCACTTACCTAACTACCGTTCATTCGTTAGTTAAACTACTATGGAATGGGAATTAGTTGTAGCATTTCTACACTCAATAATGACGAAAGTTTCCTGCAAGCGATGTGACTCCTTCATATTTCTAATTAATTAACTCTAACTAAACGGTCGGTTAGGAGCGGACAGGTGGTGTTCAATCCATGACATGTTGTCATGGGATAGAGAATAGTTGTCATTAGTTTAGCATCTCTTGTTGCACCGCTACCCCGAATGACAGTCCAAATCACTGACTTGAGTTGTTATCAAATATGGCTGAGAATCGTAATCTGAGAGTAGCATGCGGTGATAAGTCCCCTGAATAAGTATGCTTGCGAGTTTGCATAATTCTGTTCCCCAGCTACTCCATTTCTCTTCCTTATACTGTGTCTTATTGTTTTTGTTTTGTGTGGCACATCTCGTGTTGCCCATATTGTAGCAAGTTGCTGCTGAAATAATAACAAGAATGAGGATGGATTTCCCGCCGATGAAATTAGTTGATGGTCGCGCTAAAAACACGAATTGGTAGAAGTTAGAATTCATGGGCCAGTGGCTGAATGGAATACGAGCTTGCCTTGTAACCGGAAGGCCCTGGGATCGAACCCCAGTCCGTGCATACTTTCTCTCGGAAATTAGTCAGTGGTCCTCTTCAAACGGTCCTAAGCTGAATCCGTCTAAATATCAGGTAGTAAATTTCACTTTCAGACGAAAACGTGACCTACAACAACTAGCTAGCTCACATGGTCCCACTATCATTGATGGCATAGAGATTGAAACTACCTCTAATGTCAAATACCTTGGACTGAGTATTTCCTCCGATCTTTCCTGGTCCTCTCACATCTTGCTAGTTACTAGAAAGATGTTTCGCTTGACGTTCTACGTTAGGAAGTTAAGGCAGTCTGGTATAAAGCAGTCTTTGCTTTCTCAGTTTGTCAACTCTTGTATTCTAACGATCCCTCTTTACTGCTCCCCATTAATCTTTCCTGGATTACTTAAGAAAGACTTTGCTTTGCTGCGTAGGGCACTAAAAGCTGTTAGTAGGGGAAGTGGGATTTCGTTAAACCAACTGGTTGACACAATTGTGGATAGACATATAATGTCATGTAAGAAACTAGCGAATTCTATAGTGTCAGACCCCGAACACCCTCTCTATACGCAGCTCTCTCCTTTCATTTCATCTGGTAGAACTAGAAGCAACTATAGGAGGCTATATGCCAGGGCTCCTAAGTACAAAAACTTCACAATACCTTATCTGGCACAGCTGTTATGTGATGAGAAAACTGTTAAGTATGACACGATCAACTTACTGCGGCACTCGAACAAATAGTTCCCATTAGCTTTTGTTCTCCTTTCTTTGTAACTATTATATTGTTGCTCACATATTCTATTACACATTAATTTTATATTTCATATCCTGTGGTGCATTGTTTAAATATGTGAATGCAATGCCGTTCTTTTTTATTTCTTTTATTTCTCGTCTTTTCTTTTTGTTGTTGTTGCCTTTTATTTTTAAAATCTTATAAAATTTATGAGGTAATTAGATGTAATATTGTAATGCACGCTGAAAATTCCATACCTGTACCACAAATACTGTTTGGAATAAAGCTATTATTATTATTATTATTAAGCTGTAAATATACCATGCCCCTTTTTCAATCTGCAAAGCTATAGACTGCAATCATATTCTATGTTCAATTTAAATGCGAGCATCCAAAGTATTACCTTATATTGATCTTTACAATAGAGACAACAGTACTGAAAGTAATAGTAAGGCGATAACCATCACTAAAGCTCAGCATTTTTTTGATGTTAACAGAAAGTTGATATTACTACTATGTGGAGTTTATAACAAAAAGTCTAGAAATGATAAGAATTAACCGTCTTTGATTTTAAAAAAGTGCTTTGATTAAATAATTATTTGCTTCTTTTTTTTCCTATGGTTTTTATAGGAAGCTCTTTGTGAAATGAATGATGAATTGCAAGAGAATAGTCGTCAAACAAAACTTGAACTACTTGAAGAAATTGAACGAGCCAACAGTCAAATTAATCAACTTGTACGTCACTTAGATGCGACACGTGAAACAATTGCAGACTATGAACAAACTCTTGGTAAATTTAGAGATTTAGTCTCTGATTTACAAACACAAAATACTGATCTACGTAGGTCATTAGCGGATGAAAAACGCCTACAGGAAGAACAACAGCAACAAAATGCCTATCGTACAGTTGCAACAGATCTTGTCGGTTCTACAGCTGCATTTATGGGGGGTAAATTCGGATTAGGCTCTCAAGTACAAACTCTTGCTAAAGTGAGTATTTCATATCATTATTTTTATTGATATCAATCTGTGATGAAAAGTGAAAACAAATAAAATCCCTAGAAATCAACACTTAAAAAGTAATCTGATACTCACTAGTGGTTGACTTACCGATTGCAGTCACCCAAAGTTCTAGGGGAAAGTCGTGACTAGCCGAGTCCACCAAGTTGGGTGTGAGGACAAATATTCACCGCTGACATATTGGCTGGTGGTGATGTTGTATATCGGGAAACTGGCAGAAGTTAGAAGTGTGAAAAGTCATTGGATTCCATCCGAGTGGCTGAATGGTTATCGAGCTCGCCTTTTAACCTGCAGGTCTAGGGTTCCATCCTGCGTGAGGTGGTTATAGGTTCGTACTGCTGTCAAATACTCCCTGGGTTTCAGTGACTGAAACTCCAAATGATATTAATCCGTGATCACACTTAAAACCAATCAAATGGCTACAAGCTAGCGCTTGAAAATGATTTTTATTGCTAATTTTATTGATTTTACGGAATATTTGACACAGCGATTATTCATCGATACAAATTAAGTAATCCTGAAAGACCATTGTACACACAGAAATCATAGTAATAATTAAAAGTAAACAAAATGAAAAGGATTATAATGAAGGAAGTTTTCTATTCACCGAAATTAATTTTAAAACTTCATACTGGTTTATTTATACTAGAAGAAACAGAATATTTTATAATAATATCAAATTAGGGATTGAAATAGGCTCAGTGGGAAAATTTCTAACGCTGGTTTGCAAGGATTTAATTGATTTCAAATTGGATCATGAACCGACTTCAATTAGAGAATTAGTGAAAACCAAGTAGTACTAAATATCTCTCTCTTCCTAGTTTTGTGAATTTCCAATAGTAGATACCTATCACCACCTCACTAGAGGTCGAACACAGGACTCTTCATTTTACAGGAAGAACTCGTTGATCACTCAGTCGCTGGGACAGAATCCAGTGGGCGGGCCATCAATTCTGACTTCTGCCAGTTTTGCGATTTATAGCTCCGCTGGCAGCCACCAACATCATCTGCAAGTAATTGTCGTCACAATCAACTTGGTGTGCCCCGTTTATGACAACCTCTCGCATCGTTCGACGCCTGGTGAAGTTATGAGTGCGTGTTGTTGAAGAGCTATAAATGGGGACGAAACATATATTGTTCATTTTAATTTCATTAACTACTAAAATCTTGTCCGCAATTAGTAATTGTTTACTTTAAAGATGCCTATGTTTTTATATCTACATGGCAAGTCAATAGCATTTTTTATGCTAAATGCCTTTTAAACTTAATTTTGACATCCCGTTCGTCTTAGAAATAAACTCCGCTTTCCTTATATCACTATGATAAGCTATAACGACTATTGGAATTATACTTTTACCGATTTGAATTAGTTTAACAACTCAATTATCATTTACACTTCTCGTGTTTTAATCTGTAAGCAACATGTAATCTTTTAGAGATATATGGTTACCTAAATTTCGGTTAATTTTTTGGAATCTGAATGATAAGTGTGGTGTCTTAACCAATTTGCCTGAAGTAGATACGATGGCTTGGTTTTCTTAGAATGATACGGAGAAGGTCATGTGAGAAGGAAACGAAAACTCCTGGACAGTAGTGAAGCTATTTTTTCCTTGAGTTCTGATGGAAACATAGGGGTTTGATAACACATCTCCTTTGCAATCTGTTCTCTGAAGTCCCACTCTCGGTTAGCTTCACTACTAGATGGTCGCAGGCAATCGGCAGGAAGCCTTGGACCCTAGTTTTCGTGATTCTTGGCACTCGTCGGGAAGGCATATCTGCAACCTTGAAGGAACTCGTATCCCTTCTGAGATTCGAACCCACGTCACCCAGTGCTGCAGTCAGAGCCGTTACCACTGAGCTATTCAGGCTCGCGACTGACCTCCTGTAGGCCTGTATTGGCTCTTTTTGATTCGATACTAGTTAGTAGCTAGCGTAATGTGTCTAGTCCTTTGTTTTGTGCAGACTGAATTCTGTCAGTCAAGTTTGCAATGTGGCCACCAACTACCATGAAACCTAGGTTCAAGGTTTCCTGCCGATGTCTTCCAACCATCTAACACCAACAATTGACAGTGCACTCTGATGGCGAGCCACCTAGCATCGTGGCCACATTGCGAACTTGACTGATAGAATTCAGTCTGCACAAAACAAAGGACTAGACACATTACGCTAGCTACTAACTAGTATCGAATCAAAAAGAGCCAATACAGTCCTACAGGAGGTCAGTCGCGAGACCGAATAGCTCAGTGATAACGTCTCTGACCGCAGCACTGGGTGACGTGGGTGCTAATCTCAGAAGGGATACGAGTTCCTTCAGGGCTGCAAGTATGCCTTCCTGACGAGTGCCAAGAACCACGAAACCTAGGTTCAAGGCTGTCGAATCCCTATGTTTCAGTCAGAATTCAAGGAACAAATAATACTATTAATATTAGAGTTTTTAGAAGTTGCGGCTCATTGGTCTCTGTGCCCGACTTTCAACACGTTGGTCACACGTTCGAACTCCACTCCAAGCATTGAAGTTTACACAGCCTGTGACAGTATGACCCAACCCTCACACAACATGTGTAGATCAGCCTTAACTATATGAAATTGCAAATGACTGTTGAGTAACGTTGAGTTGGGTTGAGTTGATTAGTATTTCAAGTTCTAACTGATATTTATGTTTTAATTTCAATCATTCATGATGAACTCTTCTGTATTCTACTTGCTACTTTGAATTCATGTTACCATATTGTGTTTTACTGTCTTATTTAACATTGAAAAAAGGTAATTGAAGCTGAATTAAGACGCCTTGAAGCAGAACAAACTGCAAATCATGTGACGCGGTTATCTGCTTTCTTACCTGACTCATTTCTCCGAAGTGGTGGCGATAATGAGGCATTACTTACACTTTTGTTAATCGACCGACTAGCTGGGAAATGCGATCTGCTGGCTAATCATGTAAGTTTAATCTTATTCTCTCAATTTGTGATATTTTACTGTATATAATAAATTATCCGTCGTAATATAGTCTCAGAGTAGTGTATGTGTCCACGAATTGTACTACTTTTCGTGTGTACAATGCGTTACTGATATTCAGATTGGGGGACACAACTCTCTAATTTACTTTGCTCTAAATAAATGAATGTTTTTGAGTTAATGAGATACCATAGATTTGTGTGATGCTTCCTTATTAATATTCGACAAATAAATGCAAATGTACGAACGATTTTGAGGCATATCACTAAAAGTCTCAAGCAAATAGTTCTTAGTGTCTCGGGGATCCCAGCCGAGTAATCCATTCGACTACCTCTAACTATTATCCAAGCTAGTCCTGTGTCTGTTAACATTGCTCAATCAGGGAGGTAGTGACTTGGCATGTGTGACACATATCCCATCGATCTCGATTAATTTAGCTTCACAATTTCATTGACAGACTTCCTCTTCTCATCTAACTTCACTATTACCCACCATATTATACCGCTTAACACGAGAGATGGGAAGCATACACCTATGATCAGTGACAACTAACCTCTTCATATCTCTCACTTTCAACAACGTAAGCAGAACGAACTGCTGCGCGGTACATATGTCCTTTAATCGATAGTTGTATATCCCGCCCATTACTATAATGAAGGTGAACGAAAATGGGGACAATGAACATACCCGACGGACACTTTTGATGTTCATCACTTGACATGATAACTCTCCATAGGGTCTAACAAGGCCGTGTGAGTTCGAGTAAAGCGTCTTGGTTAGTGTGATATACTTTTTCGGCACTCTGTTCACGACGAAACATTGATACATTACCTCTCGGTTGACGGAGTCAAATACCGCCTTTAGGTTAGGAAATGTAAGATTTGTTGGACACCGGTAAGTATGCCTATATTTCAGAATCTGTCGAAGGGTAAAAATGTGATCCAAACACTCTCGTCTGGGCCTAAGGCCTGACTTGTTTTCACTGGTTTGTTCCTACCAAGTACCGCTTAGTTGACGCGTGATTATTTGTACTAGTCAAGCCAGTCAAGCTTAACCCTATGATTGTTCTCACAGGCAAACGTGTCTCCCTTCCTATAAACTAGAATAATCAATGATTTACACCAGTCCAACGAAACTATTTCCAGACACTACATGATATCTTAGTTAAAACAGTTAACAATTCATCACCACTATTCTGAAACACTTATAGAGTGATTTCATAAGGACCTGTTGCTTTTCCTCGTTTCAGACTAAAGACAGCTTTTGCGACCTCAGTTACAATTAAAGGACTAATGTCTACAGTCCATTCAGATAGGTGGTGGATGCTGAACAAACTAAGTATAACTGTAGGTTAGTTAAAGTGCTCCTCAAAATGCTTACTGACTAGCGAAATAAGTGTAAAATCGTTAAAACCAGTCAGTGGGAATTTATTAAGGGTGGATAATTATAAATAATGAGATACGAAATATGATGGAATATTTGGGAGAATGAACTATGGTCTAAATAAGCATTTAAATGACAAACAGTTTGCATTACGTCACAATTACATCGCTTGAGGGAAGTAGAAGCATTTTTTTTCAACACTAAAAGGCTAAGATAGTAGAAGAAAGCAGAGTTTTAACCAGTTTTTTTTTCTGTGTACAAAGCTGCAGCTCCTGTAATTCGACATTTAGGGCATCAGGAGTGCAAAGAAAGTGAATATACGCTGATTCTGATGGGTTATTTAACAGTTCTTAGGTGTAATTTCGGAGGGTAAAGTTGTCGTGATTGAGTGATCAATGTTGACCTGATGTTCAGCTATCGCAGATCTTGCAGACTGATTTCTACTTCTTCCTTAACCATCAATCAATCTTAGGATCTTTACATTCGTTAGGTAGTTGAAAGGAATCGACAGGAAGCCATTACAAGCATCTTGTGCAACGGATATCAGTTATTACTTTTGTTTTTAGGTTAAAATTTTGCATTTCCCGTTGGTCGATTATGTTGACCTGAAATGCTGGGTCTCTCTGTTGACATGTCGGCCGCTAGTACGGATGCTTCGACTGTGTCTTAGGAATGGTGTGAAGTCACTTCGGTTGATGATGACTAGCAATGGAATCCAAGATGTGTATTTCGTCGTGTTTGGGACTCGGCAGCTGCATGCACAGAGCACTTCGATCCAACACATAATCAATCAACGATAAATGCAAATTAACCTAAGAGCAAATATATTCACAATCGTTTTATATTTATAGCATTTAATCCCACACTAAATGATTTACTTTCAGCTTGTTGAACGTTATCCATTGCCTCCTTGTGTTCCGGGTCAAGCACCACTACAGATGTCTCAAGGTGAAACCAGTACTACTACTGCTGATAATCCAACTGAAGTTGTCAGCGGAATTTGTATTCCTGGTACTGATAATCCACTGACTAAAACACAATCAGAATTCTATAGTTTTATAACTAGACTAATTCATCTACTCCGGTCAATGGCTTCTTTGTTAGGCCAGTGTAAACAGTAAGTGATTTTGTGTATTTAGTCTAATTGATAATATTCTAGTGGTAGTTTGTAGGTAGGATGAGTGGGTTGATTGATTTCAAGTAAGATTTGGCCATAAAGTGACTTCAGAGGGAGAGAGAGTGATTGAAAATCAAAGGGTAATGCGAGTTTATTTCGTCTTAGTCTGTGACTCCTCAGCAGTAGGCATAACCCGACCTGGCATTGAAACGAGAACCTTCAAGGTATGAAGCGATCAGATTCTTGAACATTGTGGAGTGCAGCAGACCAGTAGCCTTATGGTCACACCACCTGCCAAGTGATTCACAACGGAAAGCTCAGTGAATTGTTCGAAGTGAAGACAGGAATAAGACAAGGCTGCCTACTATCACTAGTGGGTTGGGTCATGCGGCAGACTGTGGAGGGGGAGTAGAAAAACAGGCATACATTGGACTGACAAAAAGACTGGAAGATTTGGACGTCGTGAATGATTTCTGTCTCGTGTCTCTCAAATTTGACGATTTACAAGGAAACACCAACAAGTTTGCAGAATTGGCAGCAAAGACGGAATTTCAATTGAATAGAGTGAACAACAATCATCAGTTACCGGCAACGGGAGAAACCTGAAGGAAGTCTTTTCCTTCACTCAACTGGACATCATCGTTTCAACTACAGGCGACACGGATGGGTATGTCAAAGCCAGTCAGAGTTCGGAAATCACGACAGTCATGCATTAAATCTGAAAACAATGTGGAAATTTACCTCACTCAGCACAGAAAAATCCCCAATTTTCAGTACTAATGTCAAGTCAGTGCTTCTATATGGTTGAGAAAGCTGGCGCGCACACTACGTAAAATATTCCCCAGAAGCTGCAGACTTTCATCAATAGGTGTCTTCTCTAGCTCCATACTGAAGACCAATTAGCCAGTCAGCAAAGATAAGTGTCAAGGAAGTCTCGCAACGAACAAACCAATAACTTGTTGCCCAACAAATGTGCAGAAAGAAAAAAAGAGCCGGATTGCGCATACGTTTATGAAATTGTTAGGTGGTGTACTGCTAAAGTCCTATGTTGTTCCACGCGGAATCCAAGGGATGAATAATATAGTCACAAATATGCTCCACTGTGAACATGCAGTAGGTTCAGAATACGGATATCCAGAATTATCAGCTTTCTATTAACCCTTATTTATTCGATATAGTATTTCACACTGGAAATTTTCACTTAATGTTAAGATATTATGAGTGACATGAATAGAAAATACAGCCACTAGTGTATTACTTTCGGATTGTTTGTCGTACTTTTTATCATTTTTTCAAATGATAAACACTATTGAAAAAACAACTCTACAATTTTAACATTCAGTATGCAAATTTACTCCTGTATGGAATTGCTCCTGTTCAAATCTTAAAAAGGGTGTTGTTGGCACAGAGGTAGAATGCTCGCCAACCACGCAGGAGGTTCGGGGTTCGATCCCCAGCCGACGCATTCCTCTACTTCACTAAGCCAGTGATAAGACTGGTAAAGAGGGAAGGTTGGGCATGAGGCTAGCAACCCTATCCCATAAAAATAAATACCACTGCTACTGAAACTTCGAAGCTCTAGCTTGAAGCCCTATCTCCCACTGAGAACGTGAAGGAATAAATAAAAATCTTAGAAATACAAAATTGAATCCGTGATTTGCAATTTACGAAGTTTGAGAAGCCGAAATTATGGAGATCGTGGTGTGATATGCCTGTTAACATAAATGGCAATCAGGAAAAGAAGCATAAATGCATGACTGTATACTACTGATTGGTTGGTATGCAACTAAAATCAACCAGTAGTGGTTGTTAGCCAGATTGAAGTGATCTAAACACCAGGTGGCAATTTCGCTCTTTTAGGGTCGAGCTCATTGACAGTGGTATCCAACTGCAGGAGGTTTTCAAAAGCCAGTCTTCCTCAGTATTGTCAACAGTCCTCCGGTACGTCTGTGACCACACCCAATCGCCGTGTAGCTGGGTCCCAAAATTCAGGGCCAGTGTACACCATCACGAACCTCATATGGGGGTTGGAAGCGATGTCAACCAGGTCAGAAGTGTTAGTCATCCAGCTCTACCAAGAAATAATACCTTGCCTCCTCACTTGATTTCTGTTCCCTTCTATGGATCTATTTATTATTTATGTAAACGCAGAAAAACTTGGTACAATATGGCACCAAGAAAGATGCGCCACACAATATTGTGTGAGGACTGAGATACTGCCCGGGCGCCCAGACCGAAGCAGGTGGTTTTCCTAAGGGACCACCCCCGAGCCTTTGACTTGGAGTGTAATCCGCAAGGTAGCGGAGCAGCGTCAGGAGCTGCGTTCCCATGGTTGCCGGTGACCCATATGGGTTCATACGCCATTTGATCCGATTGAATTCTGGAGCCCATATACCCCATGGTAACTGCTTTTAGTCTAACCGCTATCCAAACAACCTTCCTGACATGGTAGGACCTGCAGGGACATGAGTCCCAGCCAGTTTAGCTTATTGGGTCACTGCGGCATTCAAGCCCGACCACCACGGCAAGGTAGCAGTTATCGGTCGGGATTCTATGGATCAAGCCCTCAGAGTTCACCTCTGTCGCTCATATTTCTTTCAGCCATTAGGTAACCGCTGTTGGTGATTTTCCCAATGACACCTGTGGTAAAAACAGTTTCTGAAGCTTCTGACCCTGTTTACGACTACTGTGCCATTAGCCAACCATCCATTATGTCACTGGATACGTCAGATACATTGAAATCAAGGTCAGTTGTTTCTTCAGGGTTGAATTGTTTAGTTCTTCAAGTCTACAAACCTCCCCAAGTTAGTACCAATAAATGCAGCTCCGGTTTTAAATAATATCTTAATGTCTTTGTTTTGGCGAACGGCTACTGCTCAACTGTCCAGTTTCTGTTTTCTTTCATCTTCGAATAATAATCCAACAGCTCTCATCTATCATCAAATACTGCTGTATCTCGAATCATATTTCACTGCAGATAATCTCTTTAGAGATTATATATCTTCATCGCCAGATGGATTCTGATGTTTGGGTGAATGTTAATCTGATTGCTAAGTTGAATAAGAAGTGGTAGATTTACTTTCTTGCTAATTGTTGAGGAGTTTAATGCTTTAGTGTATCGTAAAAAATAGTCCATGAAAACTGCTAGGCCTCGGGAAGATGTACTGTACTGAAGGTAGCTGCCATCTAGTTTCCCAGGTTGTATATTAAGTGGAGTGGAATGAGAACCTGTGACCCGTATCGTGTGAAAGCTCAAGTGGAAAAGTCAATAAACCACATCTTTACATTTCTGTTAACTTTCGGTTGTTTTGAACTACAGTAACCTGAATTGATTCAGTCCTTTCACAAAGCTCTAATTATCATTAGTTTATTTATCAGTTCTACATATACTTCATTGCGTTTATTGGTTTAGGGGTCCAAGTTCAACTCCTGACCGGTGCATTCCTATACCTTGCCCAGTTCACTAGTCGATAGTAAGCCTGGAAAATAGGGGAGATTGAGTCTGAGGCTAACAATTTTTCATCGTGTAAAAATGCGAACGGTATTGAAATTTCAAAGCTTAATTCCCGAAGCCTTATGTTCTCCTCGGGACACAAAGGTCGAAAATATAAAAGGATTCTTTTCTGTTTTATTTTCCAACTGCAGGATAGCAAACTATGTGTGCACCTTCATCATTTGTAATTGTCTGTTAGATTTATTATCTATTGGTATCACACTTTTAATTTAACATTACTACACTATCGTTTTGCTTATTCTCTCTTTCTTAATAGAGTCCTTTCAGGTTGTAGTGTTGAACTGTATTTGGACTTCGGTTCTTTATATAATGAAATGATTGCACATGAACATTGTATTGATCGATTAATTGAACAAACAAAGAATGATCAGTTGGATGAGACAATTTCATTGGGACCATTATTTTCGTCATACAATTACTTTATTCAATTATATACAGTTCATTTGAAAACAGAACCGCTATTTAATTGTAACAATAAATTACTGGATTTCACGCGAACAATTCTATCAGCTGTTGATGCCTTATCTGTTGACTCAACTGCTTTGATGATATTGACCGGTCAGAATGTTGATTGTTTATCACAAGTGGCTAAAACAGCTGCCACTTGTGTATCTGGACCATTGAGTATGGGTAATATGGATGATGTTGGTTCGTTACTGTTAAGTAATCCTACTGAAAGCGGTTTAGTTGGCCTCCTTAGTGAATTAATTCATTTTGCTACAACTGTACGTGTTGTTACGTGTCGAATAAAACGAAGAATCCCGAATAAGCCTACAGGTCAACCGTTATCATTTCACCAGGATGTTTCACAGAAATTAGATTCAGCTATAGAATTGTTAGGATCAGTTGTTGGCGCTATGTATCAAACAACTCGTTTAGCCGGCCAGATAACAGTTCGACAAGTTGTAAGTTTTTTTCTGAATAACTTGTGAATATGTTCTTTTTCATAATAAAGTTAAACGTATCATATCTTATAAACCATTTCGTTATTCACAATACATGAAAGCACCTATTTTGATTTTAAACTGAAATGCATAATTGGGATGTTAAGCACCACCGATGGCTGAAGACTGGTGATATAGCTCAAAACTGTTCTCATTCCCTCTTTTGATCTCTCTCATATCCAGTGAACTCTCTTGTTTTTCCATTTTTACTATTCTGTCTCTCTGATGTATGTTTCTACTCATTATAATTCCTTTGAATCCCTTCTTTGTCTCTTTTCTCTACTACTGTGTGCTACATTGTGTGTGGCAACCTAAACTGGTGCACTTCTGTGCAAAGTTCTCTGCTGAAATTCAGTCAGTCATCTGTCAGAAACACTTAATATTCACATTTCGTAAATATGTGTTTAAAGCTGAATTTGCGGTGAGAGCTGGCTACGAACAAGCCAAAATTGTGAACAACAATTTACGTCAGTGTTATGTCTGGAATCAGAGTGATGAGAAAAACGATTGCCAAGCGTTACCTTGAGGAACTCACCAACCAATTACGGCGGACTTAACATGTGCAAATGGGATTCGCAGATACATGGCTTGACTTTCTGAGAAACGGCCATAAGCAGTACAAAATAACTTTTAGTAAGAAAACAACCAATCAGAAAAGGTTGCTTCTCCACTGATAATAATGTACATAAAAATCTATAAATACCTTTTGATTTTCTCAATAAACATTCTGTTGCCTGACTCTTGTCTTCTGTCGTTTACAAATTCAGTAATTTATCGTTATTGTATCAAAACCTTATTATTTTCCTCTTTACATATTTTCTAACTCATACGACTATTTTTTACATCCGTCGACTGTAGTGTTGAGATTGTACTGGTGTATTTCTAAAGTTTAATTTCTTTGAAATATGATATATGATCAATAAAGGAGCCTCTCTTTAGCTAAATTATTGTCATCCCTCAGGTGATCGCTGGTCATAATCGTGTAACTTGTTTCATTTTATTAAAGCACACTTGGTACATTGTTGGCACCAAGAAATGTGCCACACAAAACCTCATAGTTTGCACGACACCTGGGATACTGCCCGTTTACCCAGACCGAAGCAGGTGGTCGCTTTTAGGGGTCACCCCTCCCGAGCCTATTAGTTAAAGTTTTATCCACATGGCAGTGGGCCGCATCCCCGTGGTTACCGGTGACCGAAACACGTTCATACTCCATTTTTATTGTTTCAGATTCTGGGGCCCATTTACACACACACTGTAGATCTTGAGTCACGATTTTCCAGCTTCTCTAGGTGGACCATCAGGTTCACCAGTCCGGTTGTAGGCGCCAGACGTTCGGATTCACTGTTTAATCTTTTTTAGGACCAGGTAGTTTGAAGTGGTTACACCTTGAGTTGCCTCCTTTTCAAAATCAGTTTTTATTTTACTTTATGTGTCGTCTTAAGTTAACCAGTCAACTTTTTTTCTGATCTTAATTAAATTCTAGGAAGATACAGCCAATTTAGACCCCTGTGTTGTTTTCACTCAGTGTTTATCAGAAGCTTGTAGAGAATATTTAACACCAGATGCATCCAATACTCGTTCCAGTGTCATTGCACCAGATATACCAATTCGTAATAATTTAACTCAAGTTGCTCGTATTATCAGTCAAGTGGCATTAGCAATGGAGAATGGAGAATATGACTTTGATGGAACAAAACAAACCGCTGTAAGTTCACTGGATGTTTTTTTTTTCTATTGGTAGTAAAGAAAAGCTGAGTGGATTATGCAGTCCCCTAGTCTTAAGCGCCTATCAAAGTTTACTGATCAGATTTGTGACATGTGCATTAACTTACTAAACACTGTAGTAAACTTGAGATCTAGACAGTCGATCTCTATAGCGCTCTCCGAGCTGAGTAAAACTGGATACACCCCTGATGAGTTCGGCCCGAAACGACTTCCAGTGTTTAGACCTCCTTGATTAGGCTAGCAAACACTATTGGTCGGTATGTAATATGTTTTTTTACAGGGGTCAGGGGATAGTACAAGGAGCAAATAGTCTAAACTGATTACAATTCACGGATTTAATGAATTTTACAATTGATACAAAGTAATCTCAGTAGACCCCACCTGTATACCCGACAAATAGATGCATATTCGTAGAGGAACAAGTGAGGCAGTCGATGGAAAGTGTATAACAAAACTGTTAAAATCAACAAGCTTATGTGGGCTCGAAGATCAAAATGTTAACCTTTTTTAAAGGTACAAAACTCAGTATTTTCAGTCGGACGAATATTTTAGAATAAATTTTAGTGAAATTTAACCGTCAAAGCATCATTAAATTAATGACTGTATTTTATAATACTTAATCTAGTTTTAAACATTTTCATACCTATAACTCCCCAAAAAGAGATAAATTGGAGCCCTGTTGTATTGATCACAGCAGTCTTTATTACGTGCTATATGTAGTAGGTGCAGTGCAACCAACTTTTAATAAGTCGGTTAACTCCCTGAGGATATAACTAATAGTTATTTTGGTTGACGGTGTATTGCATTATAATCCGCAATGCGCATTTTCGTCCCATTAAGGACTTGCCGGCTGGAAGTACCTGCATCCCTACTGAGTAGTGGTGATGGTGCTGCTCATACTCAGACCCGAACCCTGCACCCATCTTTCCAAACTCCACAGCATTATCCACTGAGCCACGAGAGCCACCCCTTGCGCAACGAGTATCAGTTATTATTTTTGCTTTTAGGTTAATTTTGCATTTCCCGTTTATTGATTATGTTGTACCGAAGGGCGTGGTCTCTGTTGACATGTCGCCTCTTAGTACGACGTGTAGGTATTTAACACATCCTAAAATATGAATTCATTTCGTTCTTTCACTATGTATTCTTTTGCACATACCTCTAAGTTAGGATGGTATTTTACACTTTTGATAATAAATGGACTGATTTTCATTTTCTGATGTTGTATGTGTGTTTATAGCCTCAAGAACCAGTCTCCGCTCGTGCTGTTGCCTATAAACGTGCTCAAGCTGAACTAGAAGGATGTCGTTCTAAATTAGAATCTAAAGCTGAAGAAGTACGAGAATTACAAAAAGCACTTAAAGCACGCGCTGAAGAACTCAGTGAAATGTCTGTACGTGTTGGTTTAGCAGAGAAGAAATTAGAAACATCTGGTAAAGGTTATGAAGAGAAAATAGCTCGTTTAGAACAACGCTTAGAACAATCAGAAGCTCAATTAAAACGAAGCGAAAAGTAGGCCCCTGTTTGCTTATTTTCGGTGTAATTAGATTTTTGTTTCTGATTGATGTAATTGATAAGGGATTTCGCTATCCGATAAGAATTTTGACGAACTGTTACTAATTTTATCTTTGTTCCAGTGTCAAACAGATTGTCACAAATGGGGACAGGAAGTGCTAAATACAAAAGCACTGGTCCTCAATGACCAAAGGCGGACATATGAAGAGAGAGTGGACAATTTATTTAATGTTTACGTTGATGATACATAGTACATGTATTTGTGCTGCTATGATAGACTTTTCACGATGTCATCTAGTGTCTCCTATTTTATATTCTTAACTTCCAAGTGTTGTTTTAATATAGGAATTTGATTGGTTCGAGATTTTATCACGAGCCGATATTGTAACGACAGAAGACAGATGCCAGGCAACAGATCGTTTATTGAGAAAATCAAGGGATATTTATATATTTTTATGTGCATTATTGTTAGTGTTATTGTTAGCAGAGAAACAGCGTCTTCCGATTGGTCGTTTTCCTACTGGAAGTTATTCTGTCATCTCTTTGTGGCCGTTTCTTTGAAGGTTAGACCATATATCTGCGAATCATATCCGCCCAAGCGAAGTCTGCTGTGATTGGTTGTTGAGTTAGTCCTTGTTTTTGTTTTTTTCTCATGACCAAAATTTGGGACGTAAACATTAATGTAAATTGCCGTCTACCTATGTTGGCTAGCAGACAGCTCTCACCACAATATTAGTTAGGGAACTATAGTAAACCAGGGAGTACTGGGCATCTGTCTTGTCCTAAGTGGGGTCTCTTCATCAGTATGCATCTACCGGAGTTTGAGCTCAGGACCTTCTTTTCACAAGACGAGCTCGTAGACCAATTTACTTGATACTACCCTCTAAATTACTGTAACTGAACTAATCAGCAAAAAGCGCTAGTTCTAAAGAATAATCTGTTTATGATGTATGTCTTTTCTCGGGAAGAAATTGTCAATGTGTTTAAACCATCATAGCTGTTAATTTTTATGCTTCATTTCTTCTGGCTTCCAGGAAATTTGAACAAACCCTTGATGCACTTCGAGCGGATATTGAAGCTTTAGAGCATGAAAAAGCAGAACTTGAAGAGAAATTGGAGACTTTAAGTAAAAATGCCGTATTCGAAGGAATCAATAAAACTCCATTGGTCACTGGTAAGTTTTGTTTTCAGTTAATGCTTATGTGTAGTGCATATACTTTCAAAGGTATTGTAGTTGTATACATTCTTAGATCTTTGAATGGTAGAGTGATGGCCAATCACGTGGTTTGGGTTCCATTCCTGACTAATGCCCTCCTAAAATCTCGCCTAGTTTACTAGTTGATAGTAAGCCCAGTGAAGAATGAAGGTCAGGAATCAGGCTTTACTCTATAAGAAAAACACTACCTCTACTGAAAATTTAGCGCTTGAAACTTGGAACCCTGCATTGTGCGCGATGTCATTCAACGGCGTCCTCAACGTATACTCGATCCATCTCCATTTTCTCCTATATATTTGTCGAGCGATCGGCTCTTGGTTAGTCGGTCGCCAGCTAGGGTTTCTTGTTGTTAATTCTTTCTGGCTAGCCACTTGATCTTCAACATGGAACCAGCGAAGGTACCTGTTGATAGACGTCTGCAGTAACTTGTTGGAAACTCTTTTTGTGACGTGCTGTACAAGTTTCTGACCCGTATAGAAGAACTGACTGACTTGACATTTGTATTGAAAAGCGAATCTTGGTCTTTATGCTGCCTGAGTACAGAAGATTTCCAAACTGGCTTCAGGTTAGGTTGATGAAGGTGTATCTCGCTTTTTCGATCCTAGCTGGCTGGCTTTAACATCTTCATCTGTTCCAACTGCCTGTGATTGAAACCGTGCATTCTAGATAAATGAAAGAAGTAAACTCTTTCAAGTTTCTCCCATTGATAGTGATTGGTGCTGGTTGTCGTTGCTGTTGGTTGGTCATCTTCATCACCTCCGTCTTCTGTATGTTCACCTGGAGAGTCCTGTCTTCACTGGCTGCTTCTTATACCAGTTTTTTTGGTTTTCACTTGCAAGTCTTGTAGTCTGTGACATTAAACACAAATCATCCACACGCGAAATCCAGACCTTCTAGCGTTTTCTTATCTGTGGTCCAGCGTATTCCTGACTCCTCGCCACCAACAGTCTGACGCATAATCTACTCCACCACAATTAAGAATATCATCGGTGATAATAGGCATGCAGCCTTGTCTTACTCCTGTATTCACTTCGAACGCCTCACTGAGTTTTCTGTTATGGATCACCTGACACGTGGCATTGCTATATAGCCAGCTGTTGAATGAGGTTGACAAAGACTTGAGGTACGCCGTAGTGTTGAAGTAGTTTCTAAATTACTGGTGAAGGCCTTTTCGAAGTCGATGAAGTTGAGGTATATGTTTGACCGCCATTCTGTGATGACGATGCGTATAGTTGCAATTTGATCAGCACATGATTTACCTTTCCTGAATCCAGCTTGCTCCGGCGGGCGAAGTTCTGCATCCAGTACATCTTTTATTCTCCCCAGAATGACACGACTTAGTAGTTTACGCCAGTCGTTGCGGAGGTGTAGGTCACCCTTCATTGGTGGCTTGACAAGGTAAGGTAGGCTTTCTTCCAATCGGTAGGCACATCTCCTTCCTTCCAAACCTTTTGCAATAATGGCGTAACCCAACTACAATACTGGTATAATACTTTCTAAAATACTGGACAACAGATAGGCTTCTCATATATATCCACCTTTTTTCTAACTGCTAATATTAATAAATAGTTTATGTAGGAAATAGTTGTATGATACAACAAATATGATGAACTTAATAGCACTTGTAAGCCGGTTCATACATCGTAGAATATTAAAAATTATTTATCAATGGATAAAATGGCTTTTAAGGTGTCTGTCGATACTGTCCTACTTTTATTAGTAAAAATGATGAGAAATAACAATAAATAATACAACATCTAGACAGATTATTTATACCAGTCGACTACGCGAACCTCGATTGGTTGGAGGACAGCTGTCAAAACGTACCTTGGGATATGTATGATTGTAGATACAATGGTGGAAATTTGTAGTTCAGGTGGATAATTTTGGTGTAGTTTATGTACTCTGAGCTGGATCATCCAGCTCACCAAAATATGTTTTATGCACCAGATACTCGAGAGTAAGCCGAATAGGAGAATGACAAGTTGCATGTGGATCTGAAGGTGCCATCGTGGGGATCTTATGAAGAGGGAATGAAAGCTCACCGCTAATTGTGAGACCACCTAAAACAACTGCAGAGAAGAGAGTGAAATGGAAGTGTGCTGTTGAAACCATATGTTCTGATCCGAACTCACGGGAATAGTAACAGTCATTTTCTTTATTCCTTCACATCCTCAGTGAAACATAGGGCTTCAAGCTAGAGGCTTGAAGTTTCTGTAGCAGTGTTAATTTCTACAGGATGGGGTTTCTAGCCTCATTTCCACTCTTTCCTTTTTATTACTGGCTTATCAAGCTAAATGAATGCGTTGGCCGGGGATCGAACCCCGGACCATGTGCATGATCGGCGAGCGTCCTAACTGCTGTGCTACCGACGCGCTAAATAACAGTCATAATTATGTATCACTATTATTTTTATTATTATTATTATTACTATTATTATTGGTAAAATAATTAGCAGTTTGAATTATCAGAGAGTATTTGATCATTTACGCAATATTCATACTTATTTGCTTTATAGTAAGTAATAAATGTATGTTACTTTAATTTTCCCCTTTTGCTAGATCAAACTGCATCTAAGGGTCAGACTGCTACACCTGAAACTCCTTCAGTTGGTAAACAAACTTCTGTTGAGTGTGCATCACCTTCACCTGGTCCTGCACGTCTAGCTGCCTACAGAGATGCTTCATTCATGTCAATGGAGGTTAGTTTTCACATTTTGTTTTCTTTCTAATAAATAGACGTTTATAATCCCTTAAATCAAAATATCTCAGAAAAGTCATTTTTGTAGTGGATATTGCTAGTTCACGTATTTAACTTATTAAAAGTCGAGTGGTTTCAACTGTCTCACCCCCTTGTAAGCTAAGTCATACCTAGTAACATCGCTGATGAGTTCGACCCTAGACTAGAGAAACGGCCGTCCAGTGTTTAGACTACGTTGATATAGCTAGCAATCACTTCTGGTTGATGTGAGTGGTATACACCTATTCGTCCCAATGAATCAGTAGCATATGGCGTCTTGCATTTATGTTTGCTTCCTTGATTTTTTTTATTTCTTTATGTTTCCAGTGGAAAATAGGCCTTCAAGCTAGACACCTGAAGTTTCTGTAGCAGTGGTATTTATTTTTACGGGATGGGGTTTGCTAGCCTCATTCCCAACCTTCCCCCTTTACCAGTCTTATTACTGGTTTACGGAGGTAAAGGAGTGCATTGGCAGGGGATCGAGCCCCGGACCACATGCGTGGTTGGCGAGCATTCTACCGCTGTGCCACCGATGCATGCCTTCTTGATTACCATTCATGATATCAAGTACAACATATATTGTAATCTAAATAATTTGAACAGGGAACTGTGATGAAATTTCATCTCCTTGAACTGTGGATATTGCAAATCGCCAATTGGTTTTAGTGGGTGTAGATGTCTAGTTCACAAATGGCATTAATTTTACTCATCTACGTTCAAGTTTACCACCAGTCAAATCAGAGGAGGATAATAAATAGTCTTAACATTCGAACAAGTTAATTATTTTGACTATAAAACACTCGTCTTATTTCCCGTCTGATTTTATTTGATCAATAACACTCATATTATTATTATTCCTGAATGTACATTATCCTATAGTGATTTTCATTCAAATATCTAATCAATCAATTCCACTCATGTATATAAATGAAGTAAAACGTTGTGTGGGTGATTTGGTATGATTATGTGCAATAATTTGTGCTCGAAACGTCATCAGTTAATCTTACTGTGTAATTTGTCAAAATAAAATCTTATCTATAATGGAGTTAAACTGAAAACAACTTTAAATAATCCCATTATTAACATTAAAACAAGACGACATATAAGCGAACTATATTGTTTTCACTTTAGATCTTCTTCAGGCTTTACTCTAATTTATTTAGATATATACACAAAATTTTTAACCAATGACGGTGAGTTTATGGATCAAATAGCAATAACAACGTGTTAAATGTTTTGAAGGTCAGTAATAAAGATGATTATAATGATAACAAGATTTATGCACGTGGTGATAAGATGAATGAAGGTATCAATATGTGTATGTTTAGGAGATTCAATAAATAATTTAGGTCAAATCTCAAAAGTTACGTAATACCGAAGCTGAAGTGGACAGGTAATTAGAGTTCAAAATAAATATCATAAAACTACGAAGGAAATGGAAAATAAGAGAGGGTGGAAGGGTTTTGATTAGAATTTGCCTAGGCAAAGGTAGAGCAAACTTCTTTTGTACGCAGACTAGGATTGTTCTCTCGAATTCCTATAGCTTCGGCTATTTGTAAAAAGGCGGGTTTGAATTCCATTCGAAAGGTTCGATGAAATGCGATGGATAACTTTGAAGGCACTTCTTCTGTCCACTTGGTGACTGCTATCAATCAAATGAGTCAAAGTAGAACTTCTTACAGATTTTATTTAGCCTTTTCCGAATTATGGAGGAAGATGCTCATTAATGGTGCGTTTGTTGAGCTGTCTAGTTGTTCGACCTACATAGCTTTCTCCGCAGGAGCAGAAACTCACCGTCATTGGTTAAATTTTCTATATATAAATCTATATAAATTAGAGTAAAGGCTGAAAAAAGATCTAATTGAAAACAATATTGTTCTCTTATATCTTATTCTAAGAGCAACTTTACAATGCATTGATGAAAATCCAATTGATGTGTACCAAGCAGGGGGAAACGCGCATCATGGACGACGACTCCACACTACAAACCACAATCGACCAAGTAATGTTGTGTTAATTTCAAGGGATTGCTGAAGTGTTCATGCTAGAAGTTAACAGGTCAACATATGTAACTTAGATAAATACCACTTGGTAGTTACATTATAATCGTTTTACAACTAGTGCAGTTGGAAATACTAAAGTGTTTGACGATTTGACGATTGATTAATTATGTTAGGTGATTGATTTAGTGACTGGATATTGTATTACAATGAGAGGAAATTTATCAAAAGATTACTTATTAACTACTTATTATTATTTCCTTTAGTTCGTAGAGGAATATAGGGCTTCAGCCATGCGTCTCCATTGCGTTCGGTTCTCTGCCAACGTTTTTATCTAGCTCCACCTCTGCCCACATACTTTCATCTCCTCTTCACATAACCTCCTCCATGTCACCCCACTCTCGCACTGACGACCAACTCGCCGCTCCCCTTTCGAGTTCTACTCGAGTGATAGCCTGGCGTGTGATGTCACTCACTTGATAGTTTTCTCGGAGTATGGCCAATCCACCTCCATTTCTTCCTGCATATTTGTTTCATAGTCGGTTCCTGGTTAGTTCGCTCCCAGAGATCCCTGTTGCTTATCTTTTCTGGCCATCTAATCTTGAGTATTGAGCAAAGACAGTTGTTGATGAAGGTCTCTAGTTTGTTTGAGGTACTCTTCATGACGCGCCAAGTCTCTGACCAGTTGTAGTAATTAACACTGACTTCACATTGGAGTTGAAAATCCAGCTCTTATTTTTCATGTTTAGCGCTGCTGATCTCCACATAGACTTAAGAGTAACGAAAGCTTGTCTTGGTTTCCCGATCCTCGCTTTTATATCCTCGTCAGTTCCGCTTGTATTTGAAACGACGCTTCCCAGGTAGGTAGGTAGGTAGGTATTTAAAGGAGGTTGCTTCTTTCAGATTTCTCCCATTTATGCCGATTGTTGTCTGTTGTTGTTGCTGTTGGCCAGGAATCTTCATCACCATATGTTTTCTCTGTGTTCACCTGAACTCCTGTCTTCTCTGGATGCTTTTCTTCCAACTTGTTGCTTTTCACTTGCATATCTTCCAGTTTGTGGGAAATCAGACATATATCATCGACGAAGTCCAGATCCTCCAAGTGTTTTGTGTGGGTCCACTAACTACTTATAATTTACGTGAATACAGAAAGTGGTTGGGAAGAGAAACTTCCTAAATATTGAGTTCACCTACCATCTGGTCACTCTTTATGGATTTTTATATATCTATATAATTCAGACCATCACGCCGTTGACAAGTTATCTAATTAAAGAAAATATGTAACGGCATTTTTTATTCAAGAAAAAAGCATCATATTTATACATTTTTAACCACATTGAAAGTCGGTTAGGTCAGTGGACAATTAATAAACTGCTTTGAGAATGGTTGTCGATTGGCTGAAAGTTAAGTAAAGGATTAAAAATTGTCTAGTGAGATTATTTCCAGACCACAATGTTAACTGAATCCAGATTTGAAGACTAAACACTTCTACTCCTTTCAGCTACCAACTTAAAATGTTGATTTCAATTTTCGCCACTTCTTATCAATCTGCATCTATATATCGATATATAAATTGTAGCACATTGAACTGTTTTGAGAAATCTTTAATCTCCCTATATCAATATATATGTGTACGTATGGGATCATATGTAAATCTCCTTCAGTAGGTTAGTATTTGAGTTCCGAATATAGTCCTACGCTGTACGAGGTTGTTCCTCACAAACGTTATAGGGCAAATGTGAACTTTTGACACTTGAAGATGCATTGGTGGGACATGTTGGGCTACCTAAGGTAGTTGGAAAACTCTGATTCCAAACCTATGGTGTAGATAGGCTCCAGAATCCGAATGGATCGAATAGCGTGTGAAATTGTTCTGGTCACCGGAGACCATGGGAATGTAGCTCCTTAGGCTGCTCCACTGCCTTGTTGATCTGTCTTCAAGTCAAAAGTACGACTGACAGTAAGGCATAACACATTCACGTGACAACTAGATATTACTCTTAATGGTTTTAGTAAAATAACGCAGTTAAGTAGGTTAGTTCAGCTAATATACATATCTGAATTGATAGTCCGGAGGCAATTGCTTCGAATCCTACCACAATCTGGAACTTTTAATTTTCATAAGTTAGGGTTTCAAGCTTTTAGAGAATCAGTAGCGGGTTTGTAGCCTTATGTCCAACCTCCACTATTGTATAACATAACTACCACCTGGTAAACAACTAGGTGAGGTTTTAAAGAGGCGTTGACCCGGGATTTGGACGTTGATATTCTCGTGTGTCTTGCGAGCATTGTAATGTGCCTTTTTTGACTTACAGATCCTTTGGAATGTTCTTCGAAATGCATAAAGACTTAAATCTTTTTAATGACTGACTTTATTTCTTGTTTCAATGCTTTTTTTTTATTTAACATAGATTAAAGGCCTTCGCGAAGCTGTCCGACGTTTGTCTTCTGAGGTATCTAAGCTACGTGGTGAAAAAATGTTTGTGAGTTTACTAAATTTTGTTTTTCTTCTAACGGATAAATGATAAACTATGTGTAGTACATTAATACTCCTCTCTGAAATATACACAGATGTCCTCAAAGTTGTGGATTCTGTAAAAATTACGAAGAAATCTCTGGTAGCCACCTACCTCACAATAACCGAAGCTCTTTATTCTTATCAAAATACTGTTGAGCTTATGATTTTCGGGTTGTTTTTCTCATTCTTTTACGTTCCCAGTGGAACATACAGTTACAAGCATGAGCTTTGAAGTTTCAGGAGCAGTAGCGTTGTTTTTACAAAACAGAGTGGCTAGCCGAACACCCAACCCTCCCACTTTATCAAGCTTACTACCGACTAAATGAGGTTTATGAGTGTGTCGTCTGGGTATTGAAGGCGGACCACGTGCATAGTCGGCAAGCATTCTACCCCTCAGCGACTGTAGCACTTGATTTTCATGTAGTGGGAAATTTTCTGTAACTGAAATTTCACACATTTTGGACATAGTTAATGGACGAATTCATCGACCCTGTTGTATTTCTGTTCCCAAATTTTAAAACATTTTTTTTATAAGTTCAGCTGTCACCGGGTTCGAACCCCGGTGAGTGCGTGCTTCTGGAGAGGCCCAAACCAGGACAAAACAGCTGTCCAGTACTCCCTGCAGATTTTCCAATGGTTCTCTAACTGATGTCAGCTCATGATGAAATCCTCCATCCAAATTTATATTTGTTAGATATTTAGTGTTCAATGTGTTTAGCTGAATGAGCGTATCTGTAATTACCTGTTATGGATTCCATTGAAATAGATTGTTCGACTATCTCCAACCTACAAGCAACGTTGATTTTTCTGACTGATTGAGTTTTAACATAGACTTTTGCAGAAATGTGCAGTACTTCAAGTTGCCACACTCCATGCACAGTACACGAAAGTTGAGAAAATAGAGAAGAAAGAAATTCACAAGAGTTATAATGCACAGAAAAGAAAAAGAATGGCAACACGGAAAGGTATGAGGGTTTAATAGATATGGGAGATTATAAAGAGTGAATGCATTTGCATTAGTGAGAACGATTTTGAACTATATCACCAATAGTCTCCATCCCTTTGTTCTTAGTATCCCGAAATACTCCCAACCAGACAGTCTGCACCTCTCTAAGTGGTCGGCTGAAACCAGCTGTCAAAGACTTCATAGATATTCACTGCTAATCATGAGTAAATAGTTGAAGTTTAGAAACGTTTTGTGTTTGATACCATAGAGGTCAGTATCATATTCCGATAAGGGTCACTTCCATCTATTAGAGCTTAGTTGCATCCAACTAACAGGTAATCAGTGCGGCAGAGCATTCATAGTTTCTATTACCAATCACCAGCCTTAAAATGGATAAATTATCTTAGTATAAGCGAATTTGACAAACTAAACGTATTCTTATTTGTTGTATCCATGATAATACTTACTGTGACTTCGACACACAACAATATGACACTGATCACTCGAATACTATACTGATTGAGAAGGTGACGTTTTATTGCCTCCACAAAAGAGGTGATGACACTTGAAATTAAAGTGTACTGTACACCTACTTCAAACAATCGATAAGTTTCTAGTTTAAGATGTTAAGGCCATACTTTCACTGGATCCAGTGTTGTGACCTTTAACCTGAGGTAAGGGTCAAATGTCTAGTTCACAAATCACGGGAGGAACAGTAACTCATGATACATGTCTCTTCTTGTCTCTTAACCCTGTTAATTTTCCTAATAATTGAAGCTAGATTGAAAGGCATGCTGCTGTTCAATATACATCGAGTCAAAAAAAGAATTGACCTTCACTCAAAGTTTTTATCATTGTTATTCCAATCTAAATTTCTGCATACCCCAAGGAATGACATTTCCCTCCGCTAATGCTTTCTATGCTAATCGTGAACTCTTTTATACATAACAGGTCTCTGAGTTCTTTTATTTGAAAGAACTGTTTTCCCATATTTTCTTCATATTCTATTAGGTTAGGTGTTGTGCATGAGCAGGAGGTTTACTTTTAACCTTTTCTTATAGTGTTTGAAACCTTTCCATTCAATAACCTAACTGCTAATTAACACCCTTAACTTCAGACGGAAAATAACTTAATAACTTTTCCACTTTTTCGATAAAGTAGTAGAATTCTTGTAGTTGGCACATCTGCATTTCATTGTGTTCGCAAATAGTCCCTTTTAGCTGACTTCACTATTGCCTCATAAGCTTTCGAATACTCTCTTCACACCATCTCCCCCATTTTACCAACAGACATCCAACTTGTCATTTCCTGATTGGGTTCCACTCAAGGATCTGGTGCGTGGTATCACCAAAAGATATCCATCCCCTCATCCTTCCGCATATTATTTAGGTATAAGTTTCTTAGTTGTTTTCGCTATCTTCTAGACTTCCTTGTTGCTTGTCATTTCTGCATATCTGATCTTCAGTATCGAGCTGCTGATAAATTTCTGAAGTAGCCTGTTGAAAGTGCTATTCATGACACTCGGGCCAAGTTTCTAAGCCACATAGAAGCACTGAGCAATCTGACATATTCTGAAAATTCCGATTTTTTTTCCTCTTGCTTAGTGCAGTGGATTTCAAAGCAATGAAGACGTCCTGCTTTTCCGATCTTGGCTCCTTTTGACATCCTCATCTGTGCCGCTTATATAGGTGAAAAAGGTGACCTCATTTACATTCCTCCAATTTGTGTTGTTGTCTATTCTACATCCATTTGACATCTTGCATTTGCTGCCTCTTCTGTCAACTTGTTGCTTTTTACTTCTTCACCTTCGAGTCTGTGTGACATTGAACACAAATCGTAAACTTGGTCCAGACATTCTAGAGTTTTATTGTTGATCCAGTGTATGCCTGTCTTCTCGCTTCCCACGGATAACGGCAGCAGTTACAGTTTACTGTCAGCTTTTCATTATCATTGGTAATAAAGGCCTCAAAATAAGTAATTTTAGCTACCTTTGAATGATAGAGTGGGTAGTATTCATTTTTAACTGACGAAGAATATTTCTCCTGTCGGAGTTTGAACCAACTACCTTCAGATTATACAAGTGTTGGTTTGTAGGTATTTGATTGGTTACAGGATTTTCATCATGAGCTGACATTGGTTAGAAAACCATTGGAAAACCTGGGAGTACTGGACAGCTATTTCGTCCTAGTTCAGGGTTCTTCCACAGTACGCACCCAAACTGCGGGGTTCGAACCTAATACCTTCTGTTTACAAGGCCACCTCGTCGACGATCAAGCCACTGGGACCCGATCATAGGTCATTGGATTGGGTCCCAGTGGCTTAATGGTATACGAGCCAGCTTGCCTTGTAACCGGGAAGTCCTAGATTCGAACCCCAGTGGGTGTGTACTGCTGAAGAGTCCCAAACTAGGACGAAACAGCTGTCCAGTACTCCCAGGTCCTCCAATGGTTCTCTAACTAATGTCAGCTCATGATGACAATCCTGTAACCTTCAGATTACTTACGCGTTCATTGCCTCTTAAATCGATCTGCGACAAGTTACTGACTCCATAAATATATGGTCATCGTTTTTTAACTATGGAGGTGAGATATTCCAAATGATAGTAATTTTGTAACCAGTTAATTTAGCGGTCCCCTTTTTCTCACGTGTTTTTTAAACCAGAATCAAATGAAAAGTCTTGGAACTTTGCAAAAACCAATACGTCGTCAATATCTCAAAGCCGTTGATAATACCGCGAATAATGAATCTAAACCATCATCCACTATAGAAGAAAAAGAAGAAGAAGTAGAAAAAGAACAAAAGCCTATGATATCACAGGTGGCACGTGATGCTGATGCACTTCGAAAAGAAATGTTTTCTTTTATAGCTAATCTTCAAATAGTTCGAT